GCTGCAGGAGCAGTCCTTTAGGCATCTAATTCTGCAAACTATTACTCAAGGAAACAATCTTTTCTCACAGCTGAAGTTCCATCAAACTCAATGGGATTATTCTGATGAATAGTTCTGACATTGCTCAGGGGTGTAAAGGTTTGCAGAATGGCTTCTGTGTTCCTCTCAATATCCATCCACCACAATTCCAATAGCACATTAAAGTAGTCCTCTGAAATCAACAGGACTTATTGTGTACTACTTAACATGAGTAAAAGGGGGGCCAAGTTTGGCCTTTGGAGAACCATTTGGGACTACCAGGATTTGTGTTAAGGGACGGGGTACAATATGTAAAGTTTTACTGCAATACATGCTACATGCATATTTTCAGCAACAAATCTCAGCAGCTGTTGCACAGGAGGCAAAATGTTTCACAACCCTGAGCAATTAGATAGACCTAATTTTTAGATGTAGACGAAGCCTCAGTGTCCCTCTTCTCCTATGAATTAACCCAGCCTCAGAATCCAGGGTTTTTAATATTGGTCTAAAAGCTATTAAAACCTTTTACCTACAATATGAATAGAAAAGTTTGAACAGATGGAGCCACCAGCTAGAAGTTAGATTTATTTTCCCACATAACATACAGCTGGACATGAACATAGTTCCATTAACTTTTCATCAGAGAATGTCAGGTGCAAAATTAGACTCAAGTCCATAACTTTTACCTTTAGTGCATGAAATAAGTCTTCATCCATAGATGTCCTTTTATTGTGGGGAGGAAGTTTGGTTAAATAAAAGTAGTATTTTCTCTGCTTCCCCCCACCAACGGTAATAATTTTAGATCAGAAAAACAAAACATGCAGGCCAACCAGACAACACCTTTAAAAATGGAAACACATACATTCTTTAAATAAAAAAGTTTTTAAAAAGGAATCTCCAACGTTAGTCTGATTCCTGTTACTAGATCTGTACTGTAAAGAGTCAATCACTTTCATATTGTACAAGAACAACGAGCGGTTAACACCACCCTAATCCGACTCTTCTAGGAGAGTGCTGGGCCTTTGATGCCTCACATTTCACACAACCCCTTACCCTTTGATTTCTGTGATGCCTCTGAATAGCTCCTCCTCTATCACTAAGGCCTAGTCTACATTACAATGTTTAACTGATGTAATCCGTCTCGTGTTGACCTAGTGGTGCATATGTGTATGCTTAAATCTGTCTCCCACTGATGCAAGTGCCCCACTACAGCAATGCAGTCACATCACCTCTCTGAGCGGTACTGAGCCACAGTCAATGTACGGAGGTTGACGCAGCACCAGTGTACACACTGCGTTACTGATGTCAGCCATAAGTACTCTCCAGCAGCTGTCCTGCAATGCCTGTCACTGGCTGCTCTGGTCACAACTGTGAACTCCACTGCCTAGAAGTCATGGAGATTGTAGGCCCCTTCCCGTTTAAAGCATTATGAATTTTTGAAATGCCTTCTCCTGGTTGTCCAGAGTGGTGAGCACGCCTACCAGCTCTCCACTGCTGTGTGCTACTGCCAATCTCAGCATGTCAGCTACATGCTCCAGGCATGTTCCGACTTGGAGTAGATAGGTATAGCCCTGCACAGATACACAATCTATATCCACGGATGTGAGTATCCGTGGATACCCACGGAGCTGCAGGGCTCTAGCGACAACGAGCAAGACCAGCAGGGCCATGGCTTGTGACCGGGCCAGGAACCATAGTGGTGAAAGCAGCAGCATGAAAGCTCGCAGAAGTTATCGCCCAGCCCGGGCAGTTCCTCCGGCACGGCTGTACCACCCCCAGCCCTGCCCACTGGGGTGGGCACCTGGCTCACTGTCAGCAGTCCTAGATTACGCTACTATATGCAAGTGGCTTGCATGCTCCCGGACTGGAGTCCCTTCCATGCACTGCTTGGGCATGTAGAGAGCTGTGTAGGGTGCATACCCACAGAGTTCAGGTATGTCTTTACTCTCCTGAACAGAGCATCACCATCTACACTGCTGCACCCCCCTCCCCCAGCATGGGCATAAACATATACTGTATGTGCTCTATGCACACCCATTAAGGAGTGTGCACTGTAGGGTGACCAGATGTCCTGATTTTATAGGGACAGTCCCAATATTTGGGGCTTTTTTTAAGTATGGGCTCCTATTACCCCTCACCCCCGTCCCGATTTTTCACACTTGCTATCTGGTCACCCTAGTGTAGTGTAAACATACCCTAGGAGTTACTTTAGAGAGTCTCCTTCAGCTCTTGTGATAGGAGCCTGTTTTTACAATGGAGAGGGATCCAAGGTTGATGTGTTCTATCACTTATAGGATTCTGAACATCTGTGGTGTGCAGTCCACTGAAGTCTGAATACCGAGAAGCTTGTGGATTTGTTTCAATATAAACCCAGGTGAACAGGGATTCTTAAAGGAATCCGCTGGCTGAAGGTCCCTGGTGATCCAATGTTCCATGGTTTAAAATAGCTAAATTGTACCCCACAGAGCCATCATTTGGGAAAGGTGAGGGAGGAATTCTTTGCTCTCTAAGCAGATTCCACTTTATTTGGCATGCTTAGAATGTCACGCAACAGACATTTGTTAAAATCTCAAATGTCTGATCTGTGTTTTCTCAATATTTGCCCGCATATGCACTTTGAAAGACTGGAATCTCATGAAACACATTGTTCACGTGAGCTTTTTCAAGTTTTTAAATTATTCTGTGTGATTATAATTTCCACTCCCACTGAAACCTCTATGATCACTACTGAGGCCTCGTCTACTGGCATAGTTTAAAGGGCAAAACACCCTAGTCATGGACACAGTTATGCCACTATAAAAGTGTTTATCTTGGAATAAAACTTAACTTTGGCAAAACAAAATAAGCTATATTGATATAAAGCATCTTATACCAGTATAAGTGCATCTACAGAACAATGTCAGTTTAAAAAAACCCCCAACAGTTACGCTGCTGACACTTTAAGCGTAGACCAGATCTGAATAGCCCTAATATTCTGAGGACCAGCCCCTGGTCCAGAGATATCACGTGACATAGTAAAATTTATGGACTAAAGATGGACCCTTG